ACACTCTTGCATTGAAAGCAGCAGCAGGCAGTCCAACCCAGACTGAAACCATCTGTCAGTCTAAAAGATGAAGGTACTTCCCAAAGTACCATCTATCCATCCCTCTCCCCCAGGACCATCCATCGCCTACCCTGGTAGAGGACCCAGCCCTTCTGTCTTACAGCTCCTAAAGTCGGCTAAATCTTGACAAAGGGTTTAGTGACGAGATAAGCAAAACACACCTTTGTATAATTAGGACACTAATTGCACCCTGAGACAGAGTAATTATGTCCCCCCTTTTAGGAAAGCAGTTAGTTCTGCACATTTCCACTCTCCAGGTTTTTGTGATCATTATTTTTTATTGTTGCTGGGGTCTCATTTAGAAAACGATCGGATTTGTCTCTCTGTTTACTAAATATCAAACACGATGTACAAACATCTTTCAATTAGGTGTTCAGCGAAGAACCCACCCTCCCCCTCTCTATTTTAAACAGGACTCATTTGCATTCATGGGCAAATTAGAATGCAGAAAAGCGTATGAGCAATGTGCAGGTTTACACTTCAGTGAATATTCATAAAGTACTGATTCTCCTTGCAACCATTTTCCTGCAAATGGCCCTCCCACTATGTGCGCTGTGTTTGTCATTCAGAGGCCTTTTCATTTGTTGTAAAGTGGCAGGTTTGGAGACAACACAAATGTATTTGGGCAGGCCTTGTGAGAGCCGGAGCTGAAAGGAAATGGTATTTGTGTTTCATGCCACAACCGAGCACAGTGAATCCTCACAATTGATAACATTGCCTCTCAGTGCCAGGTATAAGGGAAATAATCCAAAGTGACAAACGGATCATGAGGGAACTAAAGGAAAGACAAGTTCTTGTTCTGCAGCACAAGCACTGTTCTCGAAACTTCTAGCAGCACAAGATCCTTAGCATGCACTATTCTAGAAGTAGGGAATCTCCCATGCATCCTTGGGCCCTGTCTTCTCCAAGTCGTGGTCATCATGGTGGCATCATTTACATAATTTGAGCTTTATAAATAAAACCCAATTCCAATTGTATTGTGGTGATCAGATAAAATATAAAGTAATTGCACAACCCGCCTCCAAATCAAATAAGATCTTTGCAATTCCAGAAAACGCAGGAATCAATAAGCAGAATTAAAGGTAGAAGCTCTATTGCAATCATCTGTACTCTGGGAAAGAAGCATATTTTTTAACTAGAGCTGTATTCCCAATCCCATAAATCCCTGCACTTAAGGGGAGGAGTCAGTGGCAAGAACAACAGGATGGGGTTGGGGACAGACTATGGGGATAAAAGCAAGACCCCATAAGAAGAATAGGGTCCTGGGCCCTAGGAGCACAGAGTGTCAGGCCACTGAACACATCCTTCTGTGTTCTAGAAGGGGGTGCTAAGCAAAAGCTTGCACAAATGTGATGCTGGCTGTGACCCTTGTAACAGCCTCCAGAAAGAATAGAGGAAAACAGCTAAAATTAAAAATTAGAGTGGGAGGAATCCAGAGAACCAAAGACCCCTGAGACACTGAGAATGTCATGGAGCTTCTGCTCGACTGCCTCTTGGCTCTCATGGGCAGTTGTCGGTCCAGAGTTGTCGGTCCACATGATAGCACCCTGGATAGAGTCCATGGCCTGCAGTCAGTGACCTGGCTACTCTGCGTGTGGTGGGGGGGGGAACCACTTAATGTGTTTTGCAGACCCACACTGGCCAATCAGTCAACCAGACTTACATCTTGGGGGTGAATCCCTGTAGGCTGCGCAAAGACTCCCACATGACCTACTACCAGATCCCCAAAGAGGAAACAGTCACTGCTAAAGGTTTTTACCAATGGACCAAGGCCACCTTCTCCTACTGCTCAGATCTCAGGGATGGCCTGAACTGGATGGATAATGCTTCCTGAACTGGTGACCCTGGATGTGCAGAGCAGCTCTCGGGGTTTGCCAGTGCTGTGCTGAGAGTCACACTGTTGGCACGGGGTGAGGAATAGAGAAGGAGAAAGGAAACACAGACATTGAAATATGAGCCACAGAGAAAAACCTGCAAACTCAGAACCCTGCAGATCCCAACTTGGGAGAGGACAAAGAGAGCCAATTGGGCTGGAATTTGTCCTTGCAGATATTCACATACCACCAGGGAACAGGGGCGTGAGATCATTTTGGAAAAATGGGACCCAGAGATATTTTCTCTCTAACATTCATTTTCCTTCCAAAGCAACTAGGAGAAATAAGATGGCATTGGGGTAACTGGATGCTGTTCTATAAAGCTGGGGTGGGCACAGTGATGTAGATGTGTCCTGGGCTGTGGTGACCTGTTCTGCGGCCCCTCGTGGGCTTGTTGCTGATGGTCTGGGGTATTTTCCTAACTCTAATCCTCATTCCAACTTGAGCCCAGCCCAGAATCTATGGTCGGCAAGCTTCATGATAACCCCACTCTCAACTTCCCCTACTTGGTCCCCCTCCAGCCTTTTAGCCACTCCTTGGACTGCACCCTGTCTCTGTGCCAGCTCCTCTGCTGTTCAACACACTGGAAACCCCAGCCCTTACCTGAGCTAAGCAACACTCCGGAGAGGCCACCTGTGCCTGCTGTACTTTCTTGGAGTCCTCAAAGTGGCTAATGCCTCTCTTCTGCACATCCCAGCATCTTGCTCCCACCAAGAGGTTGTTTGACTCCTTTGTCCTGAAAATCTCTTTTCTGCACCATCTCTCCCTCCCTTCTCTCTCTCTCTCTCTCTCTCTCTCTCTCTCTCTCTCTCTCTCTAAGGCTGTGTCCTGCCTCCTTCCCCCTCTTATGGCTACTCAGTCCCTCACCTACTCCTACATTCAACTTTCCAGCTTCTGCCAGCTCTTGACCAACTCAGCCTACACTCAGATTGTAGCATCCTGCTACCTGTTCAAGTCCTTTTTCATAGTCCTCATTTTCCTTCCTTTCCAAGTATGTTGAAAGAAGTACAGACTTCTGTTGCCTCACCAATCCATCTCTTTTATTCCTTATCTTCTGGCTGTTTTCCTTGTCTCACAGGAATGACCTCCTATACCCCACAGACAAAACCTTCCTTGCTGTTCACCTGCTGACTTCCACAGAAGATGTGACCTATGCGCCATTCTCTCCTTCTTCAGATCCTGTTGGTTTTCCTGCGGTGGCACCAACCTGGGTGTCATACCACCTCTCTTGATTACTCCCGTCTTCACCGCTTACATTGATGTCTCTTCCTCATTCCCTAAATCTGAGTGGCCCTTTCTAGTGGCCAAGCCCTTTGCCCCTCCTCTTTGCAGTAGCGTAATCATCCATCTCTGTACCTCTCTCCTCTGACTGAAGCCCCAGACCCATGTTTGCAGTCTCTTCCTGGACACTCTCACCTCGGTGGCAGCCATCTCCATCCAGAATGACAGCCCAGCTTTCTTTCAACATAATTCCTTCTGTTTAGATGTAAGGCAATGGCCTAAACACTGAAAAGAAAAAGATGAATAAGATCCAAAGCTTGCCCACGAGGCCTTCGTAATCTAAAGGAAGGGATACATATAATAGGACATTTGTAGAACAACATGGAAATACAGAGCTAGCCACAAGACACCATAAGCGTATTGAATTCGCTCAAGAGAGAAACCCAGCTTAGCCTGGGAAGGAAGGAGTCTGGCAGCCTTTTGGGAAGACAAAATGCCTTAATTGATTCCTAGAGAATAAGCATGAAGTTGTGACTATGAGAAATTCTGAGAGCATGTTATCAGAAACGTTAATATCTTATAAACTGATTATCTGTTGGCAGCAACCAAAAGAAGTTGAGGATGACACCCAAGATTCTAGTGCCTCCAATGTCCTGGGTACCTAGAACTCAAAACCTCAAACTTGGCTTCTTCTTCCCCAGTGTATTCAGTTAACAGTTCAAGAAATTATACCATTACACTGTCTCAAAAGTCATCCTTACTTGCCTGCCCTGGTGCCACCCTCTTAGCTCAAGCCGCCTCTGTGTGCTTGCCTGGTTTTCACTCTTCATCAATCTAACCCTATGCTGCTGCCTCAGTAGGCTCCTCAGGAGTAAAGCTCCTTCCTGCTAACCCTTTTATCCTTGGTCAGAAATACTCAGTGCCGCCCTTCACTCCTTGTCAGTCAAGGCCCTCTACAATGTTGTCCTAACCGTCTCTGTTCATTCTCTCTTTCTGTCTCTCTCTCTGTCTCCCTCTCTCTCTATTTCTTTCCAGATTCAGAACTTAATCCATCTGCAAAGCTTCTTCTGCCATTTGCCATCTAGGACACGTAACCACAGGTTCTGGGGACACATGTAGATGTCTGTGAGGATGAGAGAGGATTGTTCTCTCACGGGGAAGGGTGAAGGGGTGAAGAAAGAAAGAGAAAGCAGGAGAGATTCTATCCAGGTTTCAGGACTCCTCCTCCACAATGCACTTCTCAACTGGATCTTCTCTTGTCTAACTCTGAGCTCCTGGCACCATTTGCTTCTCTCTTGTGACTTTCCCTTCTCTCTTAGCACATCCAAAGCCCTCTGGGGCAGGAAATGTCCATTTCTCATTTTCCTCTGCAGCTACTCAAAGTTCTTTGTACATAGCTGGGCTTGATCATAATTGGGAAATAGGATTAAACTGCTGCAAACCTGGTTTCTCCGCCTGAGTCTGCCTTTGTGGCCTAGGCTGACAGCCTTAAGATTAACTACCTAATGAATAAAGTTGCTAAGTTTGGTCCAGCTGTGTCATCAGAGTGTGCTTGGGTTTGCTTTGCCAAATGCAAATGATTGCCCATCACCTGCGTTTTACAAACTGGACTGGCTAAGAGCTGCAGCTGCAGAGGCAGTCAGCAAGCCAGTGACTTGGGCTCACCTGCCTTGAGTGACATAAGACAAAATGACTGCAAAGCTGCCAGCAACAGGGCTGTGGAGGCCCGAAGCAAGGCTCTCACCATCACCTGCTCCGTTCCAGATGGCCTCTGTCACCCCTGCTCCCACCACTCTGATGTACAGTGGTGGAGACGCATTAATAAAGACACAGTTACACATGCTCCAAGGGTTTTTGATGTCTTTCTCATTAGTGAATCCAGAATACACACAATTTCAGAAACATCAGATCAAATATGAACACTCAAGAGGAGCCTTTGCCACACTATGAGGTTGCAGGTGCTTGATTTGAGGTCCAATAATCAGTCCTTGGAGGGAGCCCCAGGGCTGGCAGCTGGCCAGTAGGGCTAATGTCTTTGGATGAAGCTAGCCGGAAATCCCACAACAGGCAGGAAGTCATGATGAAGACGCTCCAGTGCAGTCCCTTTGACACTGAGCACAGCTCCAGAGCAGAGGACCAAAGGACCCTGCTGCTGACCTCCAGCTGGTCCCGTCTACACCCTCTCATGATCTCTCTCCTCAGCCTCTGGGCAGGGTAGAGTGCCATCACCTGGGGCCCCAGGACCCTCTTCATTGGATCTCGGTCCCCTGAGGATGAAAAGAGAAACGAGATTTCAGTGTAGTGGTACTGTGAGGCTCTTCTAAAAGAAAAACACTTCATATATTTGAGATTTGTTCATTCATTTATTTAGCAGATAGGCACTGAATGCTTACTGAGCCAGGTGCTCTTCTGGATGGAGAGGAACACTGGTGCACAAACAGAAACAAAGTCCTGCCCTCGTGGACAGGCAGCTGAAATAAAATGGGTAAATAAGGAAAATAGGTGGCATACAAGACAGCAATAAGAGCTCAAGAGAAAAGTTATACATAAAAGGTCATAAGAAGGAAGGAAAGAGCTGCAGAGCTGAAGGGGCATGGCGGGGTACTGACAGACTCTATTAATTAATGCAAAAGAAAGCTTTTAGAATCAACACTAATCCGCTTGACTTTCCAAGTCCCTGAGTCCTGCTGCTCCCAAGATTTTACCTTCCAGCTTTTGCTTTTCTTCCCAGTTTCATGGCTGCTCCACTGTTTCGACTGCCTGGGAGATGGCTCATCTGGGTTTCAGGAACTGCAACCACACACACAGGCTGAGCTGTTGAAGAAAACCATAGCACGTTTTCTGAGGATGATTCCTACTATCAGAGGAGTCAGGAAATAGCTGGCAATGCCTTTGCATAATCCATTTAGGCCCAAAGCAAAAGAAAGCTCAATGCATAAAATGCTCACCACAACACCCAAAAACCAGGAGACAACTAGGGCTCATCAAGGTGAATATGTGAAATAGGCAACTTTTCATAAAATTATGAAGTCACTACTTTATGTCACTTATGACATTTTGAGCCAGATAATTTTTTGTGGTGGTCATTGCCCGGTACATTACACAAAGAGGGATCAAAAGATACAGTGACTATTTAAATAAAAAAAAAATTACTACAGTAAAACATACATTTTCCTCAATTATTCTTAAAATATTCCCCCTTGTTTTGAACACATTGATCCCATAATTCGTGCCACTTTGTAATGAAATTCTGGAAGTTCTCTTTTGTGAATGCTTTTTAGTTGTGCTGTTGCAGTTACTTTGATGTTCTAAATCCATTCAAAATGTTTATGGCAATTTCTGTCAAATAAAAACTTTATGGTGTGTCTTCATCCAATTTAGTCACTGATTCTGGCAGCATGACCATAAAAGGTAAATGTTTGGAATAGATTCAGGGCGTTGAGGCCGCTACAACTACAGATACTCACAAAAGAGGACTCCAGGATGGCTTCAGAAAGTGGCAAGCATAACGAGACACGTATGTTCAAAGGGGAGGAGAGATTTCAAGGAGTATTTCAAGGCAATGTGTCTTTCAACATAATATTTGTTTTTAATGTATATTTACCTCATAAGCCGTGGGGCACCGTCCGCACTAGAGGTTGGCTGCTGCATCCCCTGTTCACCACAATTCAGAACGTCTGTAGACCCTGTTAACTGTTTCCTACAAGACAACATTCCTGCTAGTGAAGAGTCACTACACAATAAATATGAAGCTCTGCAGAAATACGAAAAATGAATAAAAATTACAAAAAGATGACAAAGAATTTCTCCTTAATGCACCAATTTGTTTCTACTACCTTACAAAAGCATGCAGTGAAATCACATCTTGTTGTATATTTAATTAATTTGGAAATGAGAAACAAGTGAAAACAGGATTGTTCTCAAAAATATGAATCAAACTAGAGAAAAATCATATTTTTATTATAGAAAAAACAAGCACATAACACAAGAAAATCCTAAATTATATTTAATCTTTAAATATAGTGAGATAAGAACATGAAAATCTAGAACAGTTTGATTTTCTGGGAAAGCAGGGCTGTAGTTCTCCTGCATTGGGGATGTCATTACAAAGCTATATAGAAAAATAATTACAGTTTTTATATCTCTTTCTGCAAGGAGTCTCTGTGGTGGCAGCAGTGATAGAGAGCTCTGTGTTTTGTGGGCATCAATGAGACTTTGTTCGTTACAGAATTCCATTCTTGAAACTCTGGAAACCTCACTCTCCTTCAAAAGCGACTTGCCAGGCAGCAGGAGGTACAGGGGTAAGTCTGCAGAAAAGGACTCACCACCCACCTTCAGCAAGATAAAATTCACACTGGACACAGCGATACATACCTGAAACCCCAGCCCTCGGCAAGTAGCAGGACTAAATTTGTAATCCAAACAAGGCAACGTAGCAACTTAGCTAACTTAACTAACTTAAATTTATGTATTTAAAAAATAAAACATTTTTAAAAGCTGAGGATGTAGTGTGACAGTCCTCAGTCCAATTCTAAGTACTGAAAAACAAATCTCACCCCTCAAGGTGACCCTATGGGGACTACATTGGAACACTGGGATCACATCTCCCTGGGCTCTCTAGCCAAAATCAATGTTTATTTCCTTTCATAAGTAACCCAAGTTACTCTTTCTCCTTATCTCTAGAATGAATCAAACAAACTCTTTACTAATGCCTGGGGTAACAAAATAGAAAATCATAAAACATACTAAAACTCTAGGTTACCTCACAAAATATTGCTTGCTGCTCATCAGTTGGCAGAGTACCATAATAATCACCTCCTGCATATCTCTCTGTCCCCTTAGCATGACAGCTACGCACCTCCACATCCCTCGTGCAGGGTATAATCATAGACATCAGAATTCTTCAGTCTAGCGAGTGGAGACAAAAGAAAAAGATTGAGTTCTCTCCATTCAAATGATTTTGTTTCTAAGCATCTATGTCTTTCCAAAATGGTAGCCGCCAAGAGTAATCTCACCATATGGACAAAATCATGCCTGCCAGGTGGAACTATCTGAGCCTCTCAGCCCCAGCAGAGTAGCCATGTCAGAACATCACATGACTCAGTAATCACAGGTAGCAGCAGGGTGTGGCTGCTCTGCAGCACACTGGAAAACAACCTGGCATTGTTTCTGTGCTCACAGTCCACTGGGTGTTATCACATCCTCTGGCACCTTACAGATGCTCACCACTCTCATTCCAACAGAATACCCAGCAGCAGTGAGTCACTATAGACCAGCAGTGAAACAGTGCTAGAAGGCAGGATGACATGGAGCATTCAGCACAGGGCTCACCATGACTATCCTGGAACCAAGCAGCTTGTGCTCTATCCTGCCCTCGGCCAGTTACTTAATATAATTTCACCTTTTGGTTGGCGTCTTGTTCTCAAGTGTGTAAAGTGGAACGGTGATAATTGCAGTGACAGCAATACGAGAGTTGTAGGCAACAATCAAACCATGCAAAGCCCTATAGTTTACAATTTAAATTCCGTTTTCACCAGACAACACCTTCCACTTTTGAGCCAACCCCACTGTATGATCTCATTTAAGCCATGGGCAGTTCCTGCACCCAGTTCCTTAGCTGCAAAATGAAGTGACATTCAATGCTTTCAATTGCCTTGAAGTAAATTTATAACAATCATGGTTAGACTCTACAATTAGCTCATACACTACCTAATCTAAAAGAATTCCTGTAAGAGGCCAGGGGTCTCAGTGGTGAATAACGCCCTACTTAGACATGAAGCTCACAGAGTGAGCTATCAGAAAAGACATGGAGAACAGGGAATTAAAAATACATTGCTTTTAAAAAATATATGTAGCTTTGTCTTCTAAGTACAAAGAGATTTCCAATACAATAGAGTTGGAACAACCTCCTTACTTGGTAGAGTTTTAATGCTTCTCTGTCTTGGATTTTCGTTTACCTTATCCATGCCTGTCCAAAATGTCTCCACAACTGCACATATCATCTGTCATTCTATGACACTGGACCTTGGGCCCCTCCTTATTTCAGAAAGAATCAATTTTGAGGAGGGAATTAAACTCATGTACACTGTAGTTGCAAAGACAGAAATCACAGCAGAATCACTCTAATTGTGAGTGCTTGTCACATATTCCTACCTCAGATCCCTCCCTGATTTTGGCCTTATATATAAATTCTGAGTAGTTTTAGCCTAAGCTTATCTGTCCTTGCACATAAAATCTAATAGCCATTTCTTCTGTCTGATGCTCAAACCCCTTTACCGCATTAGATGAGATAAGTCTTCCCTGTATCATATCACACGCATCTATGAGTGAGAGGCAAGTCATATGACTCCTTGTTTTGCTTTGGAATGCCAGAAGAAGAGCCACAGAAATGGCGAAGGCCACACTTTAACACACATCTCCATATCACTAAGAGTGAGGAAAAGAAGATTCTGCTTTGGCCTTCCCCAAGCAAACAAGCCCTGTGTAACTGCACAGTACAGCAAGAGACAGGCCCCCTCCTGCTGGTCTTCAATCATAATAACTCCCTGAGAGCTCCCAGAGAAAGTCTCAGCCCACCCTTTCATCTACTTCTCATCGCTTTGAGTTTATCTCTCACCCCATATCTAGTCCTTGGCTAAGTCTTTTTGGCCTTTCATGCTCACTTCTACTACCCAGGGTCGCGCCTGGACTATATGATCAATGAAAACTGCTTCAGCTTCAAAATTACTCGCTCCAGCATCTCACTTCAAGGTGAAACCACTGCTCTATCCAACCTGCTTGTTCATGGACTTCTGCAGGGCAACTTTTCAACCTCATTCAGTGCTTTTGTTTCTTTACTTCCTCCTCCTCTATCGCAGATCCATGGCCCTTCAGGGCAACAACCCTTTGTCAGAAACTTGCACTTCCTTGCCACTCTATTTTTATCACCCCCATTTTTAAAAGCCTCAGTATTCCTAAATGAATTGTTACTAGCATCTTAGGCAGGATAGCTTCTCCTGTGTAAAGCTGCTGTGCAAATCAGGGTGCTCAGCAGCATCACTGTACTTGGGTACTCAGGCTCAATATTATCCATGGTGCAGACCCTCAGCAAAGGCAGGCTGGGACTCAGGCAGGAGTTGATGCTGCTGTCTGTAGGTAGAACATCTTTCTCAGAGAAACCTGAGTTTTGCATTTAAAAGTCTTTCAACCCAATGGAGCCCAGCCAGGTTATCTGGGACCATCTTATTTACTTACAGTAAATGGATGATAAACTTGAATCACCTGTACGAAATGCTTTCACAAGGCCCTAGCTCAGTGTCACTTCTCAATCCACACTGTCTCCAACACCTATGAGTTCAATCCCCATCACTAGATGCTCAAATTCACATCTCCAGGTAAAACCTCACATCTAAGCTTCAGTCCCACATTTCCTTCTGCCTTTTCAGCACTAACTTAGATGTCTCAAAAGTTTTTAAATTCCATGTGTCTGAGTCTGAAATTATGACCTTCTCCCTCAAAAACTGGGTTTTCCTCCACGGTCCTCTGACAATGCCACTGTTATCCATCCTATCCCACTAATTAGAAACAAAGGAAGTAAGCTTTCTTTATCACTTCCTGATCCAAGTGATTTTCCAGAACAGTCTCTTGTTTCAAAATTATACCTTGTTCTAAATAGCATTGTTCTGATCTCTCACTGTGCTGTTTCATCCTGCCCTGGGGCATGAATCAGCCCTCCATCCAGTGTATTCATGCTCTATGCACTACCCTCCTTTTATCATTTAGTATCCATCTCAGTTATTGGGTCAGTTAACATGGTATTACAGTACTTGTGTCCAAGTAACCCTAATTTTAATTAGTAATTGCCCTCCAAAGACAATAGGCTGACAGTTAGGATATGCCATTGAGAAATAAGAAAGTGCTTCACACAAAAACATAAAGTTCTTGACCTAATAAGAAAAAAATCATAGACTGAGGTTGCTAAGATCTAGAATAAGAACAAGCATTCTATCTATAAAATTGTAAATAAAAGGGAAAATTCACACCAGTTTTGATGTCACATTTCAAATTGCAAATGTCATAGGCACAGTACATGATAAATGCTTATTTGAGATGAAAAACTCATCAGTTTGGCATATGTATCCATAGGAGAAAACAATATGCTTAGGTACACTAATCACTTTCTATTATTGGAACAGAATACCTACAACCCCAGAATCTTAAAAGAGAGGAGGGTTATGTTGATTTACAGTTAGAGTCCAAGATCAACTGTCTCCAAGACAGAACAACACAGCAGAAAGACGTAACAGAGGACAGCTATTCATCCTGTGGCAACCAGGAAGTGGAGGGAAAAGAAAAATAGAAACAGGAACACACCCTTCCAGGTCATGCCCCCAGGACCCAACTCCAACCAGGCCATGTCTCCTAAGAGCACATCTAACTATGAAGTCACCAATGGATGAGTCTACTGATGACCTCTATGATCCAATCACCTTCCGAAAAGCACGCCCATCTAAAATACACTAGAATTTCAGGGGAGATTATATCAACCACAACAGCAGGGTTCAGTACTGTCCATGTTCAAAATCTACTGGGGATCCCCATATATAAGCAGGGACTCCAGTACCCTCTCATAGCACCATGCTGTTAGCCATGAGGGCGGTCAATGGATTTCAGAAATATACACTCACTATAGTGCAGATACTGGATCGTCCCCTACTACACTGCTAGCTCAGAGAGATCAGGGATCATGCTTCATTTTGCATTCTTATTACTTGGCACATTGCCGGCCGAATAGCAGGCGAATAAACAAATGAATTTTAAAAAACCAACTGAATGAATAATTATTAGAAGCATTCCCTATTCATTGCCATTTTAGACAGGAAACCAAGCTGAACATGTCAAAGTGACGTGATTGCCAGCACAGCAAAGCCAGGATTCAAATCTATCTTTAGGTGTTAAATCAAACAAAATATCTTAGTGACTACACAGAGTATTACTTTTTCTGAGGCTGGTGGCATATGACTGACAGTAGAGAGAAATAGAAACATTGAAAGAGCTCTTCTCTCTGAAAATAAAAGTTCTAGACCTGGGCACTGAATTTGTACTAATACACTCCACATAAAAGATTTCCAACAGTAAGTAATAAAGGCTCAAAAGATTTCCACTCAAAAACAGTATCTCCCTTTTCAACTTAAAAATAGCTCCTCTCCGGGGCAGGTTTGGGTTTTTTTCTCTGTGGTCCCTAATATCATCTCTCTCAATCCTTTCTGAATGGAGCTCCTCCGTGGACTTCAAAAAGAACTGGGAGTTTCTGTTAGCCACAGAGGCAGAGTCGCAGAAGCCAGGGCTTGGTTTTGTAGCAGACAGCTCCCTAGCCAGACAGCTGTGTGGGTGGAATAGCCCGCCTGCCTCAGGCTGTTTGGCCAATTCTGCTGAGCCCTAAGCAGGGAATGACTTCTGAGCTACCACAGGGCATGATCAAAAAATTCAGCGAAATTTGTATTACCCTTCAAGATATTCTCCTTCTCTTGGACATGCTTATCCCGTTGTTCTTACCGCTCTCTGAAGCAGTTCTGAAAGCTCTCTTTTGTGAGTGTCCTTAATTGTGTTCTCAGTACTCTAATTCATTCAGGTCTTTTCTTTTCATGGTCATTTTGACTTGAAAGGCCCCAAAGTCCCACAGTGCTAGATCCAGGAACTAGGTGGCTCAGATACATCATCATGTTTCCATTTGACAGAACTTGCAGTAAATGTGGGATCAATGAGAAATGATCATAAAATACAGTGTTTAAATTTTGTAAATTACAGTAAAAGATGCATCACCATTAATTCCTCTCAAATCAAGAATGATTAAAAGAGATAAAGAAGGTCATTACATACTTGTTAGGGGAAAAATAAAGAGGAAGAAATCCCTCTCAAAATGCTCAGAT